CTTCTTGTTCCTACTAGTAAGGCACTTGTTACTACTAGCTTCTTGTTCTACTTGCCGCCTTTTTACCGTAAGAAGTTACTACGCCACCAGGTCGCCCCGTTCCACGAGGGACGCATCACACGGCTTGCCTGTCCATGTTCGTTGACAGTGCCTGGCTTGAACCTCCGAACATGCAACACTGACGACGTCTGAACTGAATATACAGAAAAAAAACAAGAATGAAAGCACGGTCTAAAGGTTAAAGAAATAAGAAAAAAGTTTAAAAGTCCAAGACAGAAATACCTTCCATAGCATTGAGCAAATGCAATGCATATCCTTTAGACCTTTCTTTCATGTGTCAATTTTTCTACTTCTTTAGACCTTTAGAACATTTTGTTGTCCTTTCTATCATTTTATCTGTCTTTTCAAATCCTGATGCGTTGGCAGCACTTGAGTTCCACACTTGGAGGCAGGGTGGGAAGCAAGCTCGGGCGGTATCTGGCGCGCAAGATTTGGAATAGTCAGCACATCTGATGGACAACTCAAGCAGGAAAAAAGAAGGATGAACAAGAAACCATTCATTCCTTTCATACAAGAATTAAACAATTTATATACCACCATATATGGTCGAATGAAAGAAAGAAAGAAACAAATAACAAGAACAAGAAACCACTTGAAACCATTCCTTTCAAGCAGAACTGGGTGAAGTCTCGAAAGTACAGGCCACGCATGACGACTTGGTTGGAACTCTTCAAGAAGTTGGTCAGGTCGTAGAACATCTCCGAGTCCTCCGGAACAGGCCAAGAAGGGCTCCCAGCAAGAGTTGGGTTTTGGATGCGAGCTATGTAAGAGCTATGCAACAGTTGAGGGATTGCTCCTAGTAGCGTTCTTGCTCCTAGGGCCGTTGGAGCCTTTGATGAAGAAAGAGAAGTAAGGGGCGAAGGAAAAATGCAAAGTGTAGGCACAAAGCACGACCACTTTGTTTCTTTTGTATAATTGTCTGTCTTAATGAAATGAGTTCTTCTCGTTCTTTGATTGATTGCTTAGACCTTGATTATTGTCTTTGTTCTGCGGCCCTACTGTAGTATGCTACTGCTTCGAAGCAGTTGCTTCTTGCGTCGTTTACTGACACTCCTAGTTACTAGTCCTTTTTGGTTTTCTTTCGTTTATCTTTCTTTGTTTTCTTTTTGAGATCGTTCCTTCGATATGGATTTCTTCCAGTTATGCTTTGGGTCTTCACCTTGCGATCGATGCGTCGCTTCGCGATGCCGCTTCGCGATGCCGCTTCGCGATGCCTCCTTGTGGCAAGAAGGGTCCACGAGTGGGTCCCCAGTAGAAATAGAATGAAATAGACACAGGTGTTTCTAGTAGCCGACTTAGTAGCTTTCCAAGGAAGGTGTTTCCAAGGAAGGTTAGAATCTACGTTGGAATCCAATGACTTCCCTCAATCCTCATGGGGATCTCCGCCCCTCGTCCCCTCTCGTCCCCTCCTCTGGAGTAACGAACGAAATGGCCAAGCCTCACAGTTCGACGCTGAGCCTTGCACTCTATGGAGCTCCTAATAGCGTTCTTGTTACTAGTAGCGATGCCAGGAGCCCCTAGTAGTGATGCCCTTGCTCCTAGTAGCTTCTTGTTCCTCTACTCCACAAAGGCAAGTGTGCAAAAAGACTGTTCTCTTGGCCGCTCGGCCCTCTGCCCTCCTAATACTTAAGAGTAAGAGAGAAGTAAGCTCCTAGTTCGCTTCTACTGACTGGACGCAGGATAGCTGCTCGCACCAATGATTTGGTTCCTAGATATTTAGGGACACTTAAAGAACACTTGCTGGTAAGTTACTACTGCATTCGGATGGATCTTGGGTCCGGTGCAAGAACTCTGGCTTACACTCTTAGGTCTACACGCTGTGCACACAAAGCTCGAAGAACTATAGACTTTAGACTCTGAGTCATGCACCAAAGCTCTCACTGAAAAAAGGGAACAAAAGACTCAAAGGAACCTTACAATATGTGCACAACAAACAGTACCTCTCAAAAGGAGCGTTCTTGTTCACAAACGCCACGACGTCTACTCTGAGGCTCTGCACCCTTGAGGCCAGCTCGGCCCGTTCGTCCAATGCGGTGCGTATAGTCCTGGAAAAGAATTCTGATAGAGACCCATGGTGATAGCGTTTGGAATTCACACGCTCAAGTGATAGACTTTATGAACATGGTAAAGCAACAAACGATTGTGTTTATCATGCTTTTCACACATAAAAAGTGCACACAAGTCCTGAGTATTTTGTTTAAACTACATATATAAATATATGTATATATGTATATATATACATAACCAAAAAACAAAAGCCGAAAAGCGTCCAAAACAAAGCGTTGCTCTCCTCGATGGTCTTGGGCATGTCGAAGTTGATGACTCGCTGCACTCCTTCGATGTCCAAACCTCGACCTGCCACGTCTGTGGCCACCAGGATGTCGTACCTAGGAACGCTCAACGAGAGCGGTTGAGAGGGAGGTAGGGAGCACGACATCGCTACTAGGAGCATTTCGGGCATCGCTACTAGGAGCAAGGACGCTACGAACGGGGCTCCTGGCCGTACTACTAGGAGCATTCTTGCTACTAGGAGCAAAGAAGAATTTCTGCAAGGGACAAGAGGACGCTTTCTACAGCAACTGGACGCAGGATATCTCACGCTCTATATTCATTTGGTTCCTGGACTTTAGGAAACTTCGGAGAGAGCCCTACGACCTAATTGCTTCTCAGGCGTCAGGACGCAGGCGAAAACGGCGCCATCTTTGGGGAAACTTCAACAAAAGCAGAGTTCTCCTGTGTGTGTTATCTTCTTTTCATTTGTTCCCGCTATTCTGTATTCTTATGGTTTTATCTGTTCCGTCTTCGTGTTTTCCTTCTACAGAATTTGAAACCATTCATGTGTTTTTTGAATTCTTGTCTTTCTTGCTTTCAACATTCCTCTTTTTCTCCAAGTTGGCTTTGTTTCCGAAGACGTCTTTCCCTTTCCATTTCCCGCATCGGACTCCGTACCTTCCCTCCTTGAAGGAGTTCATGGCCCACTCACGCTGCTCCTTTGCAGCTTGCAATTGCTTAGATGCAGAAAATAAAGTGCAGATGTCGCAGAAAGCAGAGAAAGCCATTTTAAGTAGACTCACTTCTTCAATCCATTCCTGGCTCTTGCCGCCGTGGATGGAGCAAACGCGGTAGCCATTGTTGTCTAAGGACCTGAGACAAGACACGATTCATGAAACCAGAAAGAGGTCCCACACGGACACACAGGTTCCGACCATGAAAACCGCTACTTTTTTCGCATTCTTTTACAACACAAAGAAGGCGTTTACAAGTCGTTTATAGATAGCCGTTCCGTTTTGGTTGCTCCATAGATCGACGCATCATACTTTCGCAGTGAATTGGAAGTGCCGACTTGAACACAGAACAACGCAAAGTAAGCAGAAGCTGCCAAAAGAGAAAAGGAAAAAGGCCTTGAGGTCTAAAGAAGTAAAAAGAAGGAAAATAGAAACGCCAAAAAGAAAGCGAAACAAACTGAGACTTTCACTTGGACAGCACGTCCACTGCCTTCTTCTGATTGACAAAGACCTCATCTGCAGAAGTGGAAGATTTTGGAGCAGAGTCATGGTCAACAGGAGCAAGGACGCTACTAGGAGCAAAGGGCCTTACTAAAAGAACACCTCTTGACCTCCTTCGGACCGACGTCTTGACTGCCAAAGAGGCATGTTGATAAGGCTTTTTGTTACTACTAGCGATGCACTTGTTACTCCTAGCTTCTTGTTCCTACTAGTAAGGCACTTGTTACTACTAGCGAGGCACTTGTTTCTAATAGCTTCTTGTTACTACAAGTAAGGCACCATAGCAAGGTAGCAACTATGTTGGAGCCAAGAGGTAGAGAAAGAAAGGGGGTGGACAATCGCGGTCTGTGTTAGGCAGCAAAGGTGTTAGGCAGCAAAGGTGTTTCAAACAACGACAAAACAAACATGTCTTTTCGGGGGTGTCAGTTAAGTGTTTCTGACGGCTCCTGCCGGTCTTGCACCTTGCACTTCACTGATCTACTGCGAAAATCCGAGAACTTAGCCTAAACAGCACCAAACACTCCCAAGCACACCAGGCACGATAAAATACCGCAAGTCTCAAGGATGACAATAACCAACCAAAGAAACACAAAATGACACTAAAAGGAAACAATAGCAATAGCAAACCTAAGCACCTCAGCTAGTAGTAACAGGTGCCACGCTACTAGTAACAGGTGCCTTACTAGTAGTAACAAGGGCATCGCTACTAGGAACAAGTGCCTTACTAGTAGTAACAAGAAGCCACTAATCTAATTTAACTTTAGTTTAATTCTAATAGCTTTTTGTTACTACTAGTAAGGCACTTGTTACTACTAGCGAATTAGCATGTTTAAGTCTCAAACAATGATGGGTGGCTCTGCGCCCACCAACATTTCCTCCAAGCGCTTCTTCTTCTTGGCCTCGAACGGTGACGACGTGACGTTTCTCAAAACCAACCCAACTAACTAGGAGCATTTCGGGCATCGCTACTAGGAACAAAGGGCCTTACTAGGAGCAAGAGGACGTACTACAGGCTCCTGGCCTTACCACTAGGAGCATTCTTGCTACTAGGAGCAAAGTGGCCTCCGATCTACTAGCGATGGCCTCCAACCTAATAGCACATATAATCACACAAGTGCATATGAGTAACTTACAGTAGTATTCATATACCATGCTACTAGCGCCGTTGTAGAAAGAAGCCTCGCCAATGAACTCCAAGTTCTGCTCAATGTCCTGAGATCGCCAATGTTCGACTGGTTCACAGTTTGGTCGACCAGGCATGCCGCATAAGTCTCTTTTAGGTCAACAAATCCTCTTGCTTAAGTCTTGACAACAACACTCAGAACTCTGAATATCATGGAGGTCATAAGAAAGAGACACAAGCAAAAAAGATCTCAATAAGGTCTGAAGAAAGAATAACAATATTGCCAGAAAGAAACTAAGAAGATAAGGGGAAGACATGGAGAAGACAGAAAGAGAAGGAAGGCCTTCCAACGTTCCAGATCGGCTGACTGGACAAGGAAAGGCAGAAAAGGTCGAACATCAAGGTTGTTACTAGTAGCGTGGCACTTGTTTCTAATAGCAAACATTGTTACTACTAG